AATCTGATCTGCACCAAGTCTAAACAAAAATGGGTCACCCCACAAATAAGATTTAGCATCATGAAAGAATTTTTTCAACATGTGGCCTGTGTAATCAGAGGGTTTTATTCCACAGGCCAAGAAATTAGCTAAATCAGCAAACAATGGTGTTTTTGGTTGGTCAATCAAGAGGATTCTTTCATCCGGAAAAGTATCACTAATGTCCATTCCTCCTTTCTCGGGCTCTTCCAACCTAGACAAATGGTCCGCTACTTGATTCTCTACCCCCTTTCTATCAAGTATCTCTAAGTCAAACTCTTGCAATAAAAGCACCCATCTTATTAACCTAGGTTTTGCATCTTTCTTTGAAATTAGGTACTTGATGGCTGAGTGATCGGTATGCACAATTACCTTTGTTCCCATCAAGTAGGACCTAAATCTCTCAAAAGCAAAAACTATGGCCAATAATTCTTTCTCAGTTGTGGTGTAATTAATTTGTGACTCATTCAAAATCTTACTTGCGTAGTAGATTGAATGAAACACCTTGTCTTTCCTTTGTCCTAGTACATCACCTACCGCCCAATCACTAGCGTCACACATGATCTCAAAAGGTTTGTTCCAATTCGGGGCAAGTACCACTGGTGCGGTAACCAAAGCTTTTTTCAAAGTTTTGAATGCATTTTATACATTCATCATTAAAATTGAATTTTTGGTCATGTTGTAGGAGTAAACAAAGAGGTTTTGAAATTTTAGAAAAATCTATGATAAACCTTCTATAAAATCCGGCATGACCCAAAAAGCTTCTGATTCCCTTAACCGTGGTAGGTTCGGGTAGTTTTTCAATTACTTCAAGTTTTGCCTTATCTACCTCAACCCCTCTTTTTGAAATCAAGTGTCCAAGAACAATTCCTTCTTTGACCATGAAATGACATTTCTCCCAATTAAGGACCAAGTCTGTTTCCTCACACCTTTCCAAACTCTTTTTTAAATTATTTAAACAATTGTCAAATGATGAACCATACACAGAAAAATCATCCATAAATATTTCAATGGATTTTTCAAGCATATATCAGAAAAGATGGACATCATACACCTTTGAAAGGTGGCTGGAGCATTACAAAGTCCAAATGGCATTCTTCTGAAAGCAAATGTGCCACAGGGACAAGTAAAGGTGGTTTTCTGTGATAACCAGATCCTGGTTATTACCCAAAGTATTTAATACATGATTATTTGACTAAATAATTTTCGTGATAGCATGATAATTTGCTACGTGTGGGTATGTGCATTTATGCATTATTTGAATATGGAGAATATGTATATGTATATACATATATATATATGTGCGTGTGTGTATGTGTGTGCATACATGATATATGTTATGTGTATATATGTATGTATGCATGAGTATGTAAGGTGTGTGTGTTCATAAGTTTATGTGGTGTGTGTGTATGCACGTGGTCCTGTGAGTTTAGCCGACTTTCCCTTTTGGGAAAGTATAAAAAGAGGTTTTCACCTCTTCATTTGGTTTTCCTTCCACTTTGGGAAAGAAATTTGAGAGGTTTTAAAAGGAGTTATCCGGTTTATCAAGAGAGGGTGATTTCAAGTGATTGCAAGTGTCAAAGTTTCAAAAGGGATTGATTTCTAGCATTTTGGGTGATAAAAGCTTTATAAGGTGAGTGGTTTCTAAATCTTTTTACTACTGATTTTATTAGTATGTTTCGTATTCTTATCCTTTGAAATGAAACTTTGATTTTATT